GTAAGATGGCATGCAGAAATTCTAAAATTAAAAATATGAAACCGTAATTTATGAAATAAAGAACAATTATGATCTAAAGGGTATCAAAATTTACAAAAAAAAAAAAAAAAGCTTAATATTTATTTGTTTACTTTATTAAACATTTCTTTCAATGTAAGTTGTTTAAGTTGCTTCGTTTTATGTGATAATACTTTCTCTTTAATTCTATAAACAGACATAATTTCTTGTTCAGTTACAAAGTTCCGCTGTTCAAGTCCCGTTAATTGCTGTGCCGAGAATACCGACTAACTTGTCAATCGAAAATTTTTTCGTTTTCACTAACCTCTCTGTCACATTCTTCATGTCTTTATCCATTTTTTGCAGCAATTCCACTTTTTGTTTGTTGGACATCGAAACATACTTTCGTTTTGTAGATCCTTTGGAAGCTCCAGCATCGGAAATTCTATTTGACATAATCGAAAGTTCAAGTTTACTTTTTATAAAATTGCTCTTACAGTCTGCAAAAAATAATAAGCCGGATCCAATTCGAAGATTAAGGAACAATGCAATCATTAACATTAACTGAAATAGATAATTAGATAATTTTAGCTTACAACGTCCGTTATACATTAAACGCGCAGGCGAAAACGTATTCTGCAGTTGCGCACACGCATATGCGCAGTAATCAAGGTCTTACGCGCTCACGTAAAATGCCTGTGCGCATGTGCCACCGCGGCGCATGCGCAGAAAGTTTTTAGCTTTGAGGTCCGGATTATAGATCATTCCGGATTATGGGTGTCCGAATTAACGACTTTTGACTGTATACGGTCTTATGGGGCAATTAAGATATCTAGCCTTGATATTCTTCGGCAGATCAGGCGACTTGAAGGTCAGGATTGCGTGTTTCGTGTCTATCAACTGACCTTCCTTACGCATCTTGATCCACTTTGCAGCACAAACCTTTTGATCAGTTAATTCAGAAACGAACTCTTCTTCAGAAACAAACAGAAGGTCGACTTCCGAGATTACGCTGTGAGAATAATTCAATGTCTTATGCCCTGTTACAGTGACAGTTGCTTTACCAAGTTTGGTTATTTGAAGTAAGGAAGCAGACTGGGTGGCCGAAGTTGTATCAATAAGCAAGTCTCCAGAGCGGAGACACTTAATATTTCTGGGCTCACCATACAAGGATGGATATATTTATTCATAACAAAAGGAGACATCTTTTGAAGCTTGCCAGAAGGACTAGAGACAACAAGGAAATGGGGACTATTCATAGGATTATTAACATTTGCATCCATACATACGTTTTATCAGATTTTTCGGAACTAGCGCTTAGAGCGACGGGACTGACTTCGAAGTCTTTAAGGGTTTAAGTTATATTTTAAGAATAAACATAGAAGCCATGATTTAAGAAGAAAAGATTCGGGTCCGACAGCCCCGCCCACCACGGAGCCCAACAAGGGAACACAGATTCCTGTGTTAAGGCTAGCCAGACCTATACGCAAACTGAAGTCCCACAGTCGGCTTCCCCGAAAGCAGGTACTCCCGAGAGCTTATCTCCAAGCCACTGACATAAGGACTAGTGACCAGCCGATTGACACCCGTGAGGAAGACTAAGGTGCCTCTCGTTAAGCTGAAGCAGAGGCCAAAGTAGTATGTTGGGGACAGTACCTCGCCCCTCAACTACCAGGACCCTCCTTTCCAGCGACACGGGTCTCCACGCACGGCAAACACGTGGGCAGTTTTCTCGCCACTCGAAAACTCGAGACAAGGGCTGTTCCAGTCTCTCGTGACAAGCCCCAAACTCCGAAGAGAGAAACCACAAGGGAGAAGGGAAGGGAAAAAGTATCAGCCAAAAGGAGAGGAGACGGAAAAGAGGACAGATCACTGGGGCTCCAGGATCGTGACACCCATCTCACCAAGAAGATGATCCCCTGAAGGGCTAGGGTACCTCGGTATTGCCACACCCGTACTCACACAAGTGAGCCCCTGAGGGCTTAAAAAAGTCAAAGAAGCAGCAAACAAAAAAATATATAATCTCAATAAACTGCATTTTAAATCAAACAATGAAATAACATAAAAAAGGAAATTCATCTTTGCACTACACAAAGGAAATATCTACTTACCTTATTTACGAATTAACACATCTTCAGTCAAACAAAATTCCTTAACAACATCCAAAAGCTTCCTAAAATTATCTGAACTAGAATCTGTATTCTGGTATAGCCACATAAATTCACAAAACAAGAGTAAAAAATATCCTCCGTAATGCTGTATCATGCAATGATACTTCCTTCCTACAAACAGGACACTTAAAAATGGATATTAAGTAAACCTTCATTTACATACCAGTCAAGTAATGCTCTTTTCCCCTTTCTTTCCAAATCGTACAGAAATTTCAAATTAACCTTACCACATTCAGTCATTTTACCATCTAAACCAGAAAACAAGCAATGTACTTCCTAACCAATACACATGGCAAGCGCATACAAATTCACTGCAATCATACAACCGATTACATCGTAATAGGGTTTCCATAACATTCAACTACTCACTACCATAAATAAACCACCACTTGGTGATAAATGAAACAACAACTTTAGGATTATATAAGGGGTACCCTTCTCTCTACTCTAACCAAAATGTCTTACGAGAGAAAAAAGATGAAATATTGCAGTCCATGTTGTCTAATTATAAGCGTGATATTGACAACTTTTATGAAACAGCATACGAATACCTTTTTATGTGGGAGGAAACCAATGATAGTGTATCTGTATTTTCTTGGATGTTACTTTTAGAAATACCCATTTGGAAGAAAGTTAAGACCACTTGCTTGTACTTCAAAGAAAGAGGAGTTAAATTAAATGATTCACAACTCTTTATTCAAATGAGTAACATAAAGAAAATAATGATTGAAAAATCTGCAGAATGAGCTTTGTTATGAAGGAGAATATGCTTTGTTATGAAAAATGGGTGGATTTTTTTTTAATGTAGAATATTCCAAAATTTTGAAAATATATCAGTATATGTTGTCAGTTCTACCTCATAATGCTAATACTAAATGGATATTTTCTCTAATGAATGTACAGTGCACAGATGAGCAGAATCAATTGGCCATTTCAACCACAGAGTCATTCTTCAAGTGCTGACAAATTATGATTTGAACTGTCAAGAATTTCATGAATACATTAACTCCAAACCAGAAATATTAAAGAAAGTCAGGTCAAGCAAAAAATATAAATAAGTGACACATTATTTATAATTGACGATTTAGAAGTATAATTCATTTTGTTTTGCATAAACCATTAGAACATGATAATTCTAACCATTTATGTACTTATTATATACTATAAAAGCATGTGCATAGATTTCTGTGATTTAGATTTAACTGTATTGATTCAAACTGTACTGTTTTGTGAAAATAAATTAGAACAAGACTGATATGGTTTGTTTTAGTCCTGTTTAGTTTAATCCCAGTATCCGGTGCACACGGGATTTGGCTTCTTTTGGCGACTATATGATAAGCAGTACAAACGGGACATATACGATGAATAGTAAACGGGTCATTCAAAGAATATATATAGTTACACATAGTATATACTATGGAAGCACTTCCGCAGAGAACCCAGTAAATGTAAACATCGCCAACTTTGGCGATAATAGTTCAAATCTGGTAACCTAGCCAATTCATCCTATTCGCTTGCTCGAAGGTTGTTGTTGTTCACATTTGTATATTTATATTATTCTTCTCTTAGCTATTATTATTTTTTCTGAATTTTTTAACAACGAATATAGGAATATTTTCGTAAAATTAAAGAAGTTTTCGTCGATAGATGCCGGTTCTCGGCTCGTCTGTTCGGGATCAGAGGAAGAAAACACGGCAGGAGGGATGAATGCTAAGTTGTAACGCGGCTGTTCATGTGTTCTTAATTATTAACAGCTGTAAGCAGACAGAACCATGAGGTTTCCAACCCCTAAAATAATTTGTTTTCATAGGCCGCAAAATGTGCATTTTAAATAATTAAGAAATGCTTTTATTTTTATTATTGGTTATTGTCATCTAAAATTATGAGAATAAATCAATTTTTATGGCGTAAAATTTTAACAAGATACTATATTGTTAATGCTTTTCTAACAATAACCTTTCAGAGGATGGCAGGTGTGACATAAATAGCTGATTAAATTGAAATAAAAAATATTATTGATTATCTAAGATGACAGAATAGTTTGATGCATCCCCATGGTCATCAAAATTAGCAAACCACTGCTGGTGTAAGGAATACAGTTCAAATGACTCTTGAAAAATAATAAAACGTATAAAGTTCTAGTTTTATTAACAATGCTAGTGAAGAAAATTTGACTATTGTTGAAGGTTTATGTTTAATATATTGTTTTCTGTGCTAAGTTGAAGTTATTTTCGTATATCACGTTTAACCGGTTAGTTTTACATCTACATGCTTATTATATGTGAATTTTTACTACCATTGTCTGCTAACTTGAATTTACATGCATTAAAAATAACGTTTACGGCTCGGCTCATCATGATAAGCCGCCAGCTTGGTGAGTAAAAATGCAACGGCGCTAACGGGTTCTTTCCCGAAGCGCCAACGGGTTCTCTGCAGATGAAAACCCTATACCATGTATATGGTGTATATAATATGTATACACACATAGTATATAGTGTACAGTATATACATATATAGACGTGTTTTGGATCATTTTCGGTGTTGGCGATAATTTTCAAAATCGCGCCAAGGCTGCACCGTATACTAGGATTTTACCTGGAATTTCCAATATCATAAAAATGGTCTTATAATACATTATTTCAAACAAACCTATTGTACGTTTACTATTAACAAAAGTATCTTGGACTGATGTTTTACAATTAAATTTACTGTCAACACACAGAATTCAAGATCATAACAAAAATAATGCAACATATTACATACTATTTGCATATATGATAAGATATCTACAAATGAATTTTAGCGAAATCAAAAAATAATCCAAGTACTTACTTCTTCTGTATCTCGGAGAGGTATTTCTATGCAGTTCGACATTTCTCCCGTTTTACTACATATAGCAATCGTATACTGCAAAGACAACTAAAAACAATTCATTTACAACTAATACGGCATTCTACCACTGATCAACGCGTTGCCACTTTTAAGGATAGATACGTATGGAAGACACTGTAAAAGTCAATGTAATGCCATTACTTATTCTGATAATTATTATCAATAAATATCAGTTTAAGAACATTAAAAAGGTTATGATTAAGGCTGCAAGAGAAGCTCGAGTGATAATAAATAAAAGGCTCTTGTTTTAAAAAATTAAGTTTAAAATGGCTGTTCTCCGAAGAATATCCAAATATATATATATAAAACTAGCAATACATTTTTGTAGTTAAAAATGTAAAATAGAAGGAAGAATGACAAACAGCATTTCAATCACATATATATGGTTTTTCACTCACAAAATATTAAAAACTTAATGAGATTTAAGAGCATTCTTATATTACGACATTTCGATACACTAAGTATATGATAATAAAATTAAAAGCAAATTAATTGCACCTGTTTTTGTTTTTACTATTATTTTTGGATGGTTGCAATAAAATGCGAATTTTAAGCTCAGATTTAACATCAACCAAATCAATATTATTTAAAAAAATAGAGCCGAAGATTCTTAGTGCAACTAAACTAGATGATATTGTTGAATTAGAATTACTAATTTGAGCCTTAAAGCGGCATCGAGTAGTGTGTGGAAATTGTTATTCGCGGAACGTTAAATGTGATGATTAATTCAAATTAACAACAATAATGTCTTATAATTACGTAGTCACCGCTCATAAACCGACCAGTGTTGGAGCATGTGCCACAGGTGAGTTCAATTTCAAATCTGCATTGTTTGTGGAGAAGTGCTACAGTATCATCAAATTTTGCAAGCATATCAAATAAATCTCAAAAAATTTTTAACACGAAGCATTCCTAGTTGTATGTGTATTTCTGTACGCTGATATTATATTTTCATTATTACTTGATTGCATAATCCTGAAACACATGCACTCACATTTCAGATATATGTTCATATATCGTGTTCTTTATTAGGATGTATGTGTTCTTAATATTCAAGAAACTTTGTCGGAAAATGCAGTAACGTACCATGGAATTTTTGTTCATGTTTTTCTTATAGTAACAGATAATTTGCTTTTTAAATAGTTGTGAAATAGTTTTCTCTTTGGCTGCTTCCTGAATAATTTAAATTTGAGTAACTGTCATTTATGATTTTACATTATAAGTCGTAGTTTAATAAAACATGCTTGCCTGTGCAAAAAAATATCCTCGAGAGAAAAAGAGATTCTGAGAAAACTACAAATTTATAAAAAGTCATTAAGACTAATAAATGCTTATGAAAGAGTAAAATTGCATTGATTTGAAGTTGATCGATAGTTAATGATTTGGTATAGAAAGCTCTAAAGTAGTGGTGGGTTTTAATTCATCATCATGAAGTTAAATTAATTTGAATTTAATTGATAGTTAATATTTTGTTATAGGAAGCTATAATGAGTGGTAAATTGTAGTCCTCAAGTAATTGTTTAAAGTAGTATAACAGCATTTCATTGAATATTAATGAATGAACTTGTATGTATAAATATGTTCGTTAAAAATATATTTACGGGTGCCCCTTGGCGATAATTGATGAGTATTAGCGGTACATGGAGACCGAGTTTATGCAATTCTTAGACTTGTTATTTTGGCATTGTGTAGCAGCGGCGACAAAAATTGCTGCTACACAAATCCAAAATAACAAGTCAAAGAATTGCATAAACTCAGTATCCATGTACACATTGACCTATTTTCACTTAAAAAAACATCAGAGAATTGCACAAAATAGGCATTGCGCACTTCCTTGACTGTCCATGTACACATGGATCTATATATTCACTTAAAATGTCAAAGGAGCAGCCAACAAAAAATATATAATCTCAATAAACTACATTTTAAATTAAGCAATGAAATAACATAGAAAAGGAAATATCCACTTACCTTATTTACAAGTCTTCAGTCAAACAAAATTCCGGTTGAAATGCGGTTTAGCCCACTGCTTTTCGATTGTTTTTCAATGGGCAATAAATGGGCCAAAACGGCTAACCCGATGTCTTGAAGCTGTGGTGTTATTCTGTTGCAACTAGATGTTATCGTCCTGTGTTATACTTAAAGAAATTAAGGTTGATCTTTGGATTATGGTAACTTGGCGAAAATTTGGCGACCAACTCTGCTAAAGCAACCCTCTATTTTTTTTTTCGCCGCCATTTTGTCTTCACGAAGTAAAGACATGTTTCTTTTCCTTTTATTTACTGAACACTTTTTCCAACAATCTACTAACCAAATTACACTTATGCTAGAAATTTTATGTAACAAAACTGCTTAATCATGACAAATATTAACTGCAAAATTGGGAAAAAGTGCACAATCGCAAACTCCTTGCGCGTTTTTCAGAATAGCACATACACATAAACCATTTACACGTCGACTTATTTTTACTGATCGCGAAAAAGTATATACCCTTTCCAAGGATGAACATTTCCACGTATAAAATAAATAAAATATCTAAAAACTTTTACCTCTAAATTATCTATTATATTATAAACGTCACCAACGAATTCATACCGCAAACATTACAAATGGGTACAAATACTTAGTGTCAAATATTTAAATTATTTCCATACACGTTTACTTCAACTGAAATGTATACCAAATTCCTACAAACATAAAATTCACAAAATAACTATCATTTAATTAAAATATCACTAAACCATGTACACATGGACTTATTTTTACTTAAAAAAACATCGCAGAATTGCACAAAAATGGCATTGCGCACACTCTTCACTATATCCATATACACTGCTTTTTTCTCATAAATTAGAAAAATTTCACGAAAATGTAGGAAAATTTTGTGAATCTTTAAATCCGGTAAAAAGAACATATATGAAATTACCTGATCGCAAAAAGTATATACCCTTTCCAAAGATGAACATTTCCACGTATAAAATAAATAAAATATCCAAAAACTTTTACCTCTAAATTATCTATTATATCATAAACATCACCAACGAATTCATACTGCAAACATTACAAATGGTTACAAATACTTAGTGTCAAATATTTAAATTACTTCCATGCACGTTTACTTCAACTGAAACGTATACCAAATTCCTACAAACATAAAATTCACAAAGTAACTATCATTTAATTAAAATATCACTATATATTACTATTAAAATATCACATTTTTCTTGTATGGTTCGTTTTAAAGTTGCTTATTTTTAATATTTTGTATTTCTTTTTGACTCACTCCTAGAAGATTGCAAAAGCTGAGATTGTGCAATTCTCTGATGTTTTTTAAGCGAAAATAGATCGTTAGATACATGGGCAAAGCAAATGCAATGCACAATGCCGAGTTTGTACAATTCTCTGATTTTTTTTAAGTGAAAATATATTGATGTGTACATGGGCAAAGCCAATGCAGTGCGCAATGCCGAGTTTGTGCAATTCTGGGATGCTTTTTTGAAGTGAAAATAGATCGATGTGTACATGGGCAAAGCCAATGCAGTGCGCAATGCTGGGATGTTTTTTGAAGTGAAAATAGATCGATGTGTACATGGGCAAAACCAATGCAGTGCGCAATGCCGAGTTTGTGCAATTCTCTGATGTTAAGTGAAAATAGATCGATGTGTACATGGGCAAAGCCAATACAGTGCGCAATGCCGAGTTGTGCAATTCTGGGACTTTTTTTAAGTGAAAATAGATCGATGTGCACATGGGCAAAGCCAATGTGGTGTGCAATGCCAAGTTTGTGCAATTCTGGGATATTAAGTGAAAATAGATCGATGTGCACATGGGTAAAGCCAATGTGGTGCGCGATGCCGAGTTTATGCAATTCTGGGATGTTTTTTGAAGTGAAAATAGATCGATGTGTACATGGGCAAAGCCAATGCAGTGTGCAATGCTGAGTTTGTGCAATTCTCTGATGTTTTTTTAAGTGAAAATAGATCAATATGTACATGCGCAAAGCCAATGTGTTGGAAAATAGGACCTTTGTAACCCTTTTTTTCTGCATCATCTCTCCTCCTTGAAATGATTCTAACTTTTACATAAGTTATATATAGAACATCTAGCTTAGTTCTTATTTTAAAGGGATATAGTAGTTACTTCTACTTCGTTTTTCACTGTCACTGTTCGTATTAAGAACGGACTGTTTCAGCCTAATTAAGATGCAAAAATTAAACTTGATGTTACGTCATCTGGAAAGCCAAGTCGTGTCGATAGCTGATTGGTTGCCGTGAGATGACGTCATGTCTACTTCAGGTATAAGTATCTCGCTCTGGCTCATTTCTTCTAGTTTCTGTTTTCTTGGCTCCTTGGTGTGCAGTTTCCAGCTCCTATTGGAAGACGTCTTGCGATGCGTGCAGTCCGGTGATACGTGCCGTGGTTCCAGTCTACAAGATGACTTTTCCTGGATAAGTTCCGTGGTTCCAATCTACAAGATGACTTTTCCGGTGATAAGTTCTGTGGTTCCAGTCTACAAGATGATTTTTCCTGGATTCTCAAAAGAGGCTATGATGTGAGTGACTGCCGTGGGTGGCATCCATGTTCTTCATGAAGGCGGCATTTAACACAAGTTAGCGGCAATGTTTTTCTAAGCTGCGATTCCCCGTGTTTAACTACAGTGAGCGGCGTTAGACCGGCTTTAAGTGCTCTCAAGGATTTAATTTAATTTTCAGGTGCCTTCTTGACCATTAAGCATGAACTTATTGATAGCGTAACTAAATTCATTAAAACCGCATAATTTCGGTTTAGAATATGTTTTTTTGCTTATTGAATACCAGTATTTTGGAGATCAGGTAAAATATTATTTAATATATGAATTTTTTGATAATGGTTATATTATAATTTTTAAGTTTTGATATTGTTCAAATTTATTCATTGTGCTTTTATTTTTATATATTGTTAATAAATTGGTTAAGTTTAAAAAACTTTTTTTTTTTTTTGTCTTCAATGTCTGCACAGCACATAACCTTAGGGAGCTTCTGTTGCTACTGCTGCTAAATGTTTAATTTTACAACTTTAAACTTTGCTTTTGCATTACAATGTAGCACGCAATGCCCAGTTTGTGCAATTTTCTAATTTTTTTCTAAGTAAAAATAGATTGACTTGCACATGGACAAAGCCAACGCAGTGCACAATGCCAAGTTTGTGTAATTCTCTGATTTTTTTTAGTGAAAATAAATGGATGTGTACATGGGAAAAGCCAATGTAGCGCGCAGTGCCGAGTTTGTGGAATTCTCTAATGTTTTCTAAGTAAAAATAGATCGACTTGCACATGGACAAAGCCAAGGCTAGGCGCAATGCCATGTTTTTGCAATTCTCTGATTTTTTTTTTTTTTTTTTTTTTTTTTTTTTTTTTGAAAATAGATGGATGTGCACATCGACACCAAGTTTTTGCAATTCTTTTTGCAAAGTTTTTTGAGCGAATACAGATCGTTGTGCACATGAACAAAGTGAGGCTGTATGTCAAGGATGTCAAACTCGCAGGCCGCATGCGGCCCATAACAAATATTTTTGCGGCCCGGCCAATATATCGGCAAATAATAATATATAATAATAAAATAACATATGGACGAAGAAAAAAATTAAATGTTTACTGCTAAGTAATTAACGATAATTTATTCAGTGTTGTTAGATTAATCACAGCGAGCTGACACACACACTACTTAACTAACAAATGCGTGTGAGTAGCTTACGTTCAGCTACCTTCGGCTTTTAGGGACACATGCACTCAGAACTTGTACGCATCCCCCGATAGCCGAACTCATG